TTAATGTTGAAAAACTTCCAATGAAGTTATGTTTCCAATTCTATTCCTATAAGTTGTACACCTCATCATTAGCTAATCCCACTTAGCACCAAAGAACCACACTGCACCTGCTCCCACACCACTCGCAATCCCCCGCACCCACACCACACTCGGATCGTATCCCCTGCGGTCGCACCAAATGAGATGCTGCTTAGCGGAAATAAATCTACCATAAAGATGCCTGACATTATTCAAAATACAGAATACCAAAACTACAGAATTCTTCAAATGCCTACAAAAAAGATGGACTGGAATCGGAGGAGGGGATCTGGATGGAGCTGGGGCTGGAATTTCAGACTGACTCTGGAGTTGGAAGAGCAGCGTTGGACAGCGGGATAATACCAAGGATGACGATGGGCAAAAAAGGCCATAAAATTGAATGTCAGACGTGGCAGAAACAGTCGAGAGGCAGCCACTACGAGTGGATCGAGTGGAGCGTGGAGGCATAAACGACTTCATTTTATCTTAATGTGCTAATAAATTTCCCAAAGACGAAATCTCTGCCAAAAACCAAATAAATTTACTAATACCAAAATTAACACAGAGGCAGAGCGGCAGAGAGGCACATAGGCATAGGGGACATGAGAGGCATGCCACCGAAAATGAAATGGAGCGCCAAGCAGTTGACTGAGTGGCATGTGTGGAATCGAAGAAATGCAATTAAGGCAGCCAAATCATCTGGAGAACCAGTCGGGAGCTCTGGAGTCGGCACAGGCAGAGGGAGACGAGACCGACCCGCATGATGTCTTAAGTGTTTAAGTAGCTAAACGCCTGACAACCGGAGGAGTTATGGCCCGGCCTGCAGCTTGAAGCTGGCGCGTGCTCCATTGGGCGCTCTCTCTCTCCCACAATCCACATCTAAAGTATTCTGTCAACACAGGGGAAAGGGATGGATGCCGAAAAGATCTTCGTTTGGTTCTGGCTGTTGTGATCGACACTTGAGACTTGTGCTGACAATTCCTCCCTCGCCTCTCCCTAGGAAAACGAAGTTTCCCAAATTGGATGGATGATTCGTAACTCCTAAAAGGGTTCATGTGGCCTTGTGCTCATAAATTTGATAATGCTCAAGTGCGTGGCATGGCACCTGAGTTGGATCGATGGGGAAAAGCAATTCATTCGAATGGTTTTTCAAATTACATAAAGTTGATATCTCAAGTTTTATGACCATTTATGGATCATGATGGAAAAATGCAATTTATATGACATTTATGACTGCAACAGCTGAAGAAATTAAAGATTCCCAAACTTTTCACAAATGGAAATATATTTAAGTCCGAACTTTTCTCAGTTTTATTCTTTTTCTAAAGATTAACGGTCAGTTTTGTGTCATTTTTCTTATGCCTTTTCCTTTGGCCACCCGGCTGGACGCGCCTTTCAAGCAGTTGCCACCCCTAAGAAGGGTCGCAGTACCGTACAGTCGAGCAGTACATGCAACCTCATATGCATTATTTTGCATGTCTGGCAATTTAAGCAATTCATGCGTAAAGGTCAAAAGATCAACGCTGACAGAATTGTGAGGGGAATGGTACTGCTAGGGGGAAAGGCAGTTGCCTGAGGGAAGTTTTTCAATAGAATTTCTCGAGTTTTTCTTACGATAATGCTCTGATTTCCTTTTGCAGCATTTGCATTCGTCCATTGTCCAGTCCGCTGATTAGGCGTGAAGTTCGGATTTGAATAAGAAATTTCTACATCGGGTGGGGGGTTTTAAAGAATGCATTATTTTTGGGTTGACAGAATGCATTTATGTGTGTACTTTTCTGGCGGGAAAATGTTTGCCTATAGGAAGAAGTAGATAGTGCAATATATTTCGACTCAAAGAAAATAAGGAGAGATTCTTGGACCCATCTGTTTCTAAATTCTTAAAATTATCTCTTAAGTTTAGTTTTAATCTTCAATAAATAATATTTTTTAAATATTTATGTTATAATACAATCTTATTTTCTTCTCATTCTTACATAATCAGTTTAGCCTCTATCGCTGTTTGCATTTATACTTATTTAGCTTGATTCTTTGATATTGGATATACCAATAAGTTTATTTCATTAAAAATGTCCCTCCTCTAGAATCTTCTTATGTGCCAGAGGTTTTCCCCTTAAAAAAACAGCACCAAAGAGGTCAACATCCGCTAATTAAGGTCACTTTCATCCCAGCCTCCGAGACCATCAATTTTCCCTAAAAAAAACAGTCTTACAACACGTTCCGCCTTATTATGACCATGCGAACAAAGAACAATAAAAAATAGAGCAAAACCCCTGGGGAGGGTTGGAAAAAATAACACTTAAAAAATTTGCAAACATGTTTTGCATACAGCCAAACCGATCATCAAATATTCACATTCATACAACGGGAGAAATGAGCGAAAATCTTTGGGTGCATTTTCACCCAGAATCAGCAGCACCCAAAAGAAAAGAATCTTTGAAGGCAACCACCAAAGGCACACGGCACACACGAAGAGATATCCAGCTGCTTGTGAGACCCACGTCACGATCTCGATCACGGGACAGATCTCTTTTGTGCAAAGAACTGGAGCGAACAAATGCGAGTGCGAGTGCGAAAATCTACCCCATAATCCGGGGAAGAAATATTCCAAATTAAACTTACGGAAACAAAAGAAAAACGAAAGGAAAGACGGTTTATTTGCGTATCGAAATGTGCAAATTTCTCAATGTTTTTCCTTGCGTTATATTCATAAATCTTTTTTGGGTAAAAGTGAATTTCAGTTTCGATAATTTCGATGGAAGGGGGGAATGTACATCCATTTGGATGATGATTAGTACCATTGGAGGCCTCAACAAATCCCACACAACATGATTCACTAAAACTACAACTGGACTTAGTATTTGCGTTGACATCACCTGTCCGAAAGTCGCAGCTAATAATTGGTGTCATAAAAGTTAGTTAAATCATATTTTGGATGTCAGTCAGAATCGGTGACATTCCCCAAATCAGAAGGAACTCCATTGCGTGCTGATTGCCTTGGGCATTGTTCCGATGACACGCCAAATGGTCTCTGTTTCCAGAGCCCATTCCCACCTGTCAACCTAATGGATAATGGTTCTATGCTTCTGTCTCGTGGCCCTGTCCCTGTCCCTGTCCCCTGATGTGTGCAAACACACAATTACGCGTTCCGTATGACGAGGGCGTGTCAGGTGGCGCTTGTGGTCTATATAGGGTATGGCATGCCCATACCCATGGCCCCATCAGAGCAAACAATAATCACCAATTTACAGCTCGTCATCGAGTCGGGTAAATGGCGACAACGTAATGTCATTTGATGTTGATTTGTGATTGCTGCAATTATATGTAAATTAATTATGGGGTTTCGCTGGTTTAGGGAATGCTTTTGGTTGTGCTGTAACCAAATGTGAAAGATAATTTCCATAGACATTGTCTTATGCAAGTGAACAACAAGTTTTGGCATGCAAATTGACAAGACTTTGACTGCACCCAGACAACTCTCGAAAGCCTTTTCCGTAAGTGGCAGAGACAACTCAATGATGTCTCCAAATGTGTTACGCTCGATCGGGGATTGAGGTCTGTGGATCCCCAGTGGGGCAGACAGACCGAAAAGACACATCCCAGAAACAGATACTGAGGGAGATGCAGATCTGCAGATCTGCAGTTGCAGATACAGTTGCAAATGTTGCAGCTGCCCCAGCGATCGAAGTGGCGCGATCATGTGCAGATTCTGTCTGCTCTCTGTGTCGTTTTTTGTTTTGAGAGCTTTAGCACTGGGGATCTGGAAGCACTTGACATGAAGAAATAATTCCATTGAGTTGACAACTATGTCAGGAATCTCAAGCGAGACAAAATTAGACAAGAAGCGTGATTTACGGAACCCTTAAAGAGCAAATGCGATGACAATGTCTGGATGTGGATCTGTTTCTGGGTCTGCGAAGCACATGTGCAAATGGAGATAAGAGGCGGACCTGATCGACGCTTCCCTTTGGCCACATAAAACACAGAACATTGTGATTTATGGGTTTGGAATCGATTGGCCTGGAAACTCCAAGACAGATACGCATGCCTAGTCAGAGCAGAACAGATCAAAGCAAATCAAAGAGATGGACAAACTTTATGCTTTGGTAATTTTATATGCTTGAGCTTGAGCATCGCCCATCGATCATTGATCTTGTGATCGTCGTATTGGGGTATTTCCAGACAATAAAAAACACACACGAATTTGTTTTTATGTTACCTATTTAACAGAGAGATCAGACAGAGACCTCTGAGACTACACGCCTCTTCCAGCTTCCGCGTCGTTTGGCATTTTGTGGTTTTGCCCAATAACAAAGTTTTGTTTACAAAAATTCCAAATGCTGAATGGGAATGACAAAGCCAATCGTCTCTATTCACACCTGGCCCCAAAACGGGAACTACTATCTGGAGTATATCGAAACAGTTTTGCCAATAATTTAACATTAAAATAGAGCCGTAATGGGAATGGGATAACTTTCCTTTCCCCCAGAAATTCAAATTAGTAAACCTATATAAATTGATCTCCTAAATAAAAGAAACCGAAAATCGCATTTCAAAAATCCCCTCAAGCAATGCGTAATATATTCTAAGCAAATATCTCCAAAAAAAATACAAATTTGCATTAACGAACAGACTTTAGATCGCACGAGATCGCTGGAACCTGTTTTGTGGGTTCATTGTTTGTTTCGTCATTGAATGTTTTTTTCTTTTAGTTTTTTTTTGATATTTGGAGCCGCACAAAAGCCGGTGGGGGGATTCTTTGTGATTAGTTTAGTCATCTTTCTAAAACTGGTTTCCCGTTGGACATCGCATTTTGTGGTGATTGTGTTCTTGAATTCCATTAATATCGAGACGATAAGTGCTAGAACGAATTTTGGACCCAAGTCGAGTCGCATATAAAAGCCGTGCTCAAGTGCCGGCTAAATATCAGTTAACACGGAATCTTCATCGATAGAGGAAGTTGCGAAATCAAAAGTGCGAAAATGCGTTGCGTGATATTGCTTGGATTGATCGCCTGTCTGGCGTGTCTGTCTATGGCCTGGGGCCTGGAGGAGTCGTCCAACGATCAGGATCTGTCTCTGTCGCCTGTGGAGCAGGGCATCGAGCAGCCCGCCGAGGGACAGGTTCGTGCCAAGCGTCAGTTCTATGGCGGACGTCCCTACTATGGTGGTGGCTTCGGCGGCTTTGGACGCCCGTATGGAGGAGGATTTGGAGGTGGATATTATGGTCGTCCCTACTACGGAGGCTATGGACGTCCCTATGGCGGTGGATTCGGAGGGCCCTTCTATGGCGGTGGATTCTTCGGCTAAATTACTTTGGTTACCAATAAACGAAAGCGAAAAGTGTGACGAATATCCATGTGTGTTGTTTCTAGAGTCAGCAGGGATCTGCAGAGCAGCCCCCAAAATTATCTCGAAACTTGACCTCGTCTATGGGAATGTGTGTGACCCAAAACTAGGGACGTGAGACGGCGAGTGCGAGGAGAATGCTGCTGGGGAATATTTTAAAAATAAATAACAGAAAATCTCCATTTATTTATGAATGTATGCTCCAGGTCGTAGCTTCCTTAGATATACGTACTAATTTTGGGCTCTCCAGGGTCTGGAATGGAGAGGGGGCCGTCTGTTGGTTTATGTTCTACGAGCTGTCACGATCTTTGTTTGTTTCCATCCTCTAGATGTGTGGGAGGGCTCTTGGCTTTTCAGTTTTGCAGCAATCATCACGTACGATTGTCATAATTATCATTTAAATTTTTTATTAGCTGAACCCATGGGCCATCTCTGGGTCTTTGTTCTGTCTGTCGCTTTGCTGCAACTGCTGTCTGTTTTAAGGAAAATAAATATTTAAATGTTGTCACTCGCACTGATGACACGAAGATCCACAAAGATGGATATTTTTTGGTGGTTTTTTTTTGCTCTAAAAGTCTAAGCCCATGTCATTAATCAAGTTAATAATTACGAGTATCCTTGGTCGCATCCTCGTCCTCGCTAATCAAATTTGCAACATCTGTGTTTAAGTTGCCATCGAATTTTATTAGATCACCTCAACGATGTCTTAATCCCCGCTAATCAACGTGAAAAGCCCAGCAAATTAGCCGCCAATGCCCTCCAGTAGATGTTTATCGGTAGATGGGTTTATGTGTTTATGGTTTCGGGGTTCTGTTTCTGGTTCTGGTTCGAAGCAAACAAAACGCCCAAATAAGTTACCCCAGAAAACACTGGGCCGCCCTCGCTTAAGGCCTCTGCTGTGTCCGGCGCTGTATGGTGGGGTGCCTGTCATTGTTTAATTGTCAATAGACATCGGCTTCTATCAATATCATAAAAGCTAATAATTCTCGGTTGGCTGGACGGCAAGAACTGACTCCGGGACCATCCTCCCCCACGGGCTATGTATAATCCCCCACCGGATATGCTCAATCAAAGCTCAAAGAGTGCGTGCCGGGGGGAAGTCGCGGTACGAGTGGGTCTGTAGGTGTGAGATGGCCTCAACCTCAACCTGTCTGTATTTTGGGGGTGGCTCATCGCATTTCATTCATCATTTTTCGCCTTTTCAACGCTTGCAACCCTCCCTCGGGGCACCGGAGACCAAGACCGACCAGGACTCTTGGACATGCTTCCTCTCTAACCTCTGCCATGGCATATCCTCTCGCTCCTCACCCCCTTCTGTGGGTAGCATGTTTTGATATTAAAATTGCGTAATTATAATTAACCACATGTGTGTGTGTGTGGGGGGGGAGGGGGGGAAGCGGTTTAGCATGTCCTTTGACTGCTTCCGTTCCACATGCCGCACAAAAGCCAAGCCGTTTAAAGTTACTTCCTACCGTGTCTTGTGTGCCACGTGTGTGCCGCTCTGTAAGCGATCTGTGGGCTGTGCCCCCGTGCCTCAGGGGCATAATCCATAACTTGGCGAACTGTCAGCCAATTGATATAACTTCCAGTCGACTCACAAGATAATTAAAAAAGGAAATTTTTAATTTTAATTAGGATTGGGTTTGTGATTGAGAAAGGGTCTTTTTGGTGAAAGGATTTCGGTTCTTTGGCGTGTCAAATGGGGAATGAAAGAAAAGAGATAGGAGAGTGTATCTATGGTAAGCTCTTTCGTTATAGAATCAGTTTGAAGGACTTTAAAAAACTTTGAATTCTAGGAATCTCTTTTTATTCCCCTTTCCATCATAAACTCTTACTTTTTCCAATAGACAAAGACACACCCTACCATATATCATCTAATGCTTATGGCCCACAAATATCTCTAATTGTAATTTAGTATGGGAACAGTGGAAGAAGATGGGAAACGCCGAATAACCAAAATACATAATGTGGCCAATAAAATTACTGAGAATCCCGCAAGCGTTCACCGAAGGAGTGGTGGGAGCACCAGCAGCAGCACCAGGAGTGCGAGTAGGAGTTGCACTCCAGAGAGAAATACCAGATACACATACACAAAGATCCAACAGATGAAAATGGAATGAGAATGGGAATGGGAATGGGTTTTGGGGCGATTACAAACGTGTTGCCATTAGTTAACTTCAGCTTTGATTGATTTCAATTAATCTTGGACGCGTGTAATTAATCATTGAACACTTTAATATGGTTAACAACTCTTGACCAAGCAACGGTTAAAAAGGTTCAACGAGAGCCAGCGAACAGGCCAAGACGAAGACAGACGGACACAGACACAAGTCTTTTGGCTTTGGCAACACTGACAAAGTGACTGACCACAAAAGTTGGGAAGAGGGGAGGATGGAGAGGGAAGTCTGTGCGGTTGCCAGGGAGGCCGCCATCTCTAAGAAAAATAGCCAAGTTTGGAAAATGCGTTGGAGTAATAGTCGGTAACGAACCGAGACACAGACACACGGATTTCCATAGACACAGTCTTGAGATTCAGTCGCTGTCGAAGGTCTAGACTTTGCCACAGCTCCAGCCTTTGCCTCAAACTTTGCCACAGCTCCAGCTGTAGCCTTTGCCTCAACCTCAGATCCAGCTCCATCCCATCCCATTCCATCTCCTGCATCCACCGCCCCACTACAGCTACATACAGCTCCAGCTCCAGCTTCAGCTTCAGCCCCCGACTAATTGTACTTAGATTTCGCGCCACTTTGGGTAGCTTTGTGGTCATGCCAGCAACGTCCATGGGTCCGTGGAAAGCGGTTCGCGATTGATGGCTATCAATGCCGATGACTTATGGACCAGCTCGCAGACTGGGGCACACATGAAGCATGAAGCATGAGCCAATGGACCAGGCGAATCCATCCATCTATGTGGCACATTTGACTGCAACTCACTTTGATTATCTATCTTGCGCCGTTGGGGCAATTGCTGTGTTCTCTGCCACTCGTTCTCGCTGGGCATTGATTTTCCCAGGCTGAACAAATAGCTGGGAGCTGATTTTTTGGTTTTGTGGTAAGCGATACATGGAAGGTGTCATTAGATCGCGGGGCTCGACTTCGCTTTACATCAAATGGAGGGATCAGAATAGGGGCTCGACTTCGCTTTACATCAAATGGTGGGATCACTGGAGAAGCTGTGAAATGGCTAGGGAATACAAGACCCCATTCTGGGGGCACAAAGGAAACCATCCATCGAAAACCAATTGAACGAATTTCACACATGGGCGCTAATGAATTTAATGAAGTCATTTTTCTTTAACCGATTTACAAAACTACTTACAACCGTGTGGCAGTCCGCCCCTGCCTCTGGCTCTGGCTCTGCCCCTGCCTCTGAGGCACTGAGAACAAGCGAGTTCATAATTTTGCATCATTAATCATGGCCTTAACAAAGAGATCTCGGGCATATACCGATCCAATACCTTCCGATCCGATCGACAGCTACCAAAAAAGGGGGAAAGTAATTTAGGCAACCCGATGCCCGCTTCGATCTACTGGAGATTTGCTGCTGAGAAATTAAAAAACAATTGTTAATTATTAAATTTTAAATTTTACACTTTACCACAAACATCATTTGATGTTCATTTCATCGGAGGTTGCTGTGGGAGCTGCTCTGTCGGGATCTCCGTCGAGTTGTAGAGGGGCACTGGGGCTGGAAGTCTGCAGACCAATCTTTGAAGCTCTGCCCGACACCTCGCTGATGAGATCATTCATCAAAACCTTAACCTGGCCGCACCGAGTGAAATGAGTTGCCATTGTTGTGAGGGCTTTCATGGAGGAGAGTCTCCTGCTTTTTGTCTTCTCCTCTGTTTTGGCATGGGCTTGGGTTGGCTGTTGACTGCTCAATTATCACATTGATGGGGTCTGTGTGAGCAGATGACTTTACGAAGACCCGCATCGCGGCCTAAAGAAGTTTATTAGCTAAAGTTTGGGATAGCTGTGAGATGCAGAGATATTCAGATGTCCAGAGGATTGAAAGGAGAAAGGATTGAGTGAGATGAAAGTTTAACTTGATTCCTGCTTGAGCTTTAAAATGGGTAAGGCATTTCCAGATACTAGAATAATCGTTTGAAAGGCTTGAGCTCCCGTTTCCGTGTATTTCTTATGTAGATTAAGCAGTCGTATTATACTCGTACCAAGATGAATGTCATTGAAGTATAAAGAAATATAGAACATAGTAATGAAGAATATCTATATACCTGGATATTCCTGTCGCCAGATATTGGAAGAATTATCATCAATTATTTTTTTACAATTATCCTTATTGAGGAGAATATTATCTTTTTTTTTAAGAATATTTTTAGCTATCCTTCCGTACTGTTCCCCTATTGTGAAGCTTTTGTCTCTTTCAGTTACATTCAATTTGAACTTTTTCGAATCCCAACCATTTCAGCTTACAGAAAACCCATATTTCTCTATTGTTCTTCTCGAGCCTAAGCCAAAATTGCGTTTTTCTTTCAGATGACCAGCAGACGAGACATCGGGGGAAATGCGATCATGACCGCAAAGCGTTGCGCTTCATTAAAATCGGATTAAAGAGCGGCCCGAAGAAGTCCTGCCAAAGGACAGCCGGAGGAAAACAGCGCTGACCAGTGTCCGAGTGTTTCCCACGCTGCAGCCAGAACTGACTGTAAATCTTCGAACGGAACGTCTTTTGGGCCTTTCGGTATGCAAAAGTACGCAAATCGCTCGAGATGGAAATGGTAATGGAAATGCGTACAAAATCGACCCAAAATCAACCCCAAAAAGGTACACATCTTCTGTGTCCAGGTAATCCAGGGGTGGAGTGGACAAGCGGAACCCTTTTTGGCGCTGGCCATAAACTTGTGTAAAATTTCATGAAAATCAAGCAGAAAATTTCATACGGACTGGACAATGTCCATAGACAGACCAAGAGATCTTCCAAGGGGGTTGCTGCGATCCGAA